TAATAAAAATAAAAAACACCCCAAATCTGTCTTGGAAGAAGTGCAATCACAGTGCTCCTTAGAGGCAAATATGGTGAAACTTTGTCTTATATACATTGAGCATATTGTCAGGAGGGGCAAATTCTTGAAAAAAGACTTCATGTTGGGAAAGGTGGAGGTTCAGCAAAAACGAGGAAGGCTCTTGAGATGGATTGACACAGTAACTGTAACAATGGACAAGAGCTGATCAAAGAAGGTGAGGATGGCCCAGGATAGGGTGAGCTTTAAATCCATTGCTTATCGGGCAACTGTGAGTTATAGTGGACTTGATGGCACATAACAAGAAGAAGAAAGTGTATAACATAACCATGCACATTACATAGTTTAACAACCCATTCCAGTAGTCTATTAATAGCAGTTTCTAATCTTAAATCTGAAATAAGCAGAGTAAGAAAGCAAAACTACATTTCCTTATAGTTGTTTGCCATCAAGTCGACCACAATTCATAGCGACCCTATGAACAAAAGGCTTGAAGCCCCTCTACAACTATCAACATTTATCAAAGTTCATAGAGTTTCTGGAGGCATAGAAGCTCTTTGTATTTAGGCTAAGGGTACAGTGGAAAATGTTTACAGAGACAAGCTACATAGATGACAATTTGCACTATATAAGAAAAAAAGTTGCTTCAAAATGGAGTCAGGACAAGAAGACATTTGGCCCAGACCATAGCTAGGGCTTTTACTTATTTATTGGCTTAACAATATGGATCGAAGCTAAACATCAAGAAAACAAAGATCCTTACCACTGGGCAATTCTTACCAATTGGCAGTATCATGATGGACAATGAAGAGATTTGAGATTGTTAATAGCTTTTGTTTGCTTTGCTCCATAATCAACATTCTTGGTACCAGCAGCCAGGAAATAAAAAGACTAATTGGACAAGTCTGCTGTCAGAGACCTCTCCAGAGTATTGAAGAGCAATAATATCCGTTTGGATACTAAGGTGTGCCTGATCCAGGGCACAGTCTTTGCAATTACTTGCTATGCATCAGAAAATTGGACAATGACTAGGGATGATAGAGAACTGATGCCTTTGAACTGTGGTGCTGGAGAAGAGTAATGAATAGACTTCCAGAACAAACAAGTTCGCCTTAGAGAAGGTGAAACGAGGGTGCTCCTTGGAGGCAAGGATTCTGAAACTTTGTTTGACATACTTGGGGCATGTTGCAAGAAGGGACCAGTCCTTAGAAAGGGACATCATGCTTGGGAGGCTAGAGGGACAGTGCAAGAGAGGAAGACCCTCAATAAGATGGATTGATTCAGTGACTGGAGTAATGAGAGTAGGTGTGTCAGTGACAATAAGCTTGGCACAGGATAGAGCAGGGTTCAGAGCTGTTGTACAAAGGGTCGCTATGAGTCTCAAGCAACTCAACAGCACATAGCGACAATAACTAACAAATAGGAATATATTCTCTTACAGGTTAGGAGGCTAGAAGTTTCCGTGTCAGCTGTGGAGGAGAGCCCTGGTTGCTTTCAGTATCTGCAGCCTCAGGATGTCCCTCCATGTTTGTGTTGATGGCCTTCCTCCATGTGTTGTGGCCTTCCTTGGAATCAGGGAAGGTACCCAGATCCAAGAAGATGCACTCCACTCCTGGAGAACATATCTTTGTGGTATGGAGTTTCCCCCTTGAATCAGAAATTTTATTTTTTTTTAACCAGTTAAGAGCTTTAGTTTTAAAATTAATTTCTCAGAATACTGCTGTATATTGACCCCACAGTTCTTCATAGCCCTTACTTCGAGTTTTGCTTTGGTGGATTTGGAATCTGGGCATCAAAGACATAGCTCTGAAATCCATCCCAGGAAAGAGGAAGAAAAGGTGTTGGTTAAACAGAAACTGAGCAGTTCTCACTGTGTCTGGAGCTTTATTCTCGAATACATTCCCAACTCCTAACACCATTGGTTCAGGGCTCACAGCAGATGCTGAGTTCTATTTGTAGGAGTCACAAGCACAAAGCCAGGTAATGCCTTCAAAGGGGTTAGAGTCTGGTGAAAGAGAAAGGAAGACAAACGAACCGCGTGGATACCGCCAATTGCAGTGATGACGTTTCCCCAGAGGACAACCGATGAGCAACAAGCAAAGCTGAATATTTGCAGGGCGTTAAGAAGGGCTCCAAAGAGCTTGGCTGGCAGGCAGGCATATTCATGCCAGTGACCAGCCTCACTGGAGACCAGGCACCTAGGAGAGCAGTTAGCCTAAGTCACCTGTTCTTAATTCTCCTCAAAGTGGTAAGAGGTGGTGGGGAGAGGGAGGCACATCTTATGAGAAGAAACCACCCTTCTCCACTCCTGAAACGGAACACTTTCACCACCTAAAGGTCTTTGGTGTTCAGGACTACGACAGCGCTGGTATTTAAGGATAATTGTGGAAATTATCCAACAATATCATTAATATCACTTGTAAGCAATATTCTGCTGAAAATTATCCAAAAACATTTGGAACAATATGTCAACTGAGAATTGCCATATGTGCAGGCATGACCTCTTAGAAGAGGTCATGGTACTAGGGATATTATAGCTAATGTTAGATGGATCTTGGCCGAAAGCAAAGAATACCAGAAGAATGTCTATCTGTGCTTCATTGACTATGCAAAGGCTTTTGACTGTATGGATCACAAGAAGCTGTGGCTGACTCTGAGAAGAATGGGAGTCCCAGAACATTTGTGCTAATGTGAAACCTTTACTTGGACCAAGAGGCAGTCGTCAGAACATAGCAGGGAGACACTGGATGGTTCAAAATCAAGAAGGGGGTCCATCAGGGATATATTCTGTCACCATACCTTTTCAATCTGTATGCAGAACAGATCATCCGAGACGCTGGGCTGTACGAGGAGGAATGTGGCATCAGGATTGGTGGAAGAATCACCAACAACCTGCATGATATGGATGACACAACCCTGCTTGCTGACCCAAAGCACTTGCTGCAGAAGGTCAAGGACTGCAGCCTCCTGTATAGACTGAAGCTCAACATCAAGAAAACAAAGATTCTCACCACTGGGTCAATTAGCAGCATCAGTTTGGATGGTGAAGAGATTGAGATAGTTAACAGTTTTAGTTTACTTGGCTCCAGAGTCAATATTCTTGGTAACAGCAGCCAGGAAATCAAGAAACTAATTGCATTGGGAAAGTCAGCTGTGAGGGACCTCTCAAGAGTACTGAAGAGCAACGACGCCAGGCTGGAAACCAAGGTGAGCCTGATCCGGGCTATGGTCTTTTCAATTACGTGCTATGCATCAGAGAGTTGGACAGGGAATAGGGATGATAGAAAGAGAATTGATGCCTTGAGCTGTGGTGCTGGAGAAGAGTGTTGAACATACCATGGACTATCAGGAGAGCAAACAGGTTTTTCATGGAGAAGGTGAAGCCAGAATGCTCTTTGGAGTCAAGGATTTTGAAACTTCGTCTGACATACTTTGGGCATGTTGCAAGGAGGGACTTGTCCTTGGAGAGGAACATCGCGTTTGGCAGAGTGGGGGGGGGGTGCAGGAGAGGAAGACCCTTGATGAGATGGATCGATTCTGTGACTGGAGTGATGAGAATGAGTGCGTTTGAGATGGATAGGTCGGCACAGGATAGAATGGCGTTTAGGGCTCTTGTACATAGGGTCGCTATGAGTCACAGGTGATTCAATGGCACATAACAGCAACAAGAAGGAGGAGTCCAGGACCAGGCCGGGAGTCTATCGCCAAGAGCATGACATGTCTCATAAACTCACAACTCGGCGCATTCCAGGGAGAGGAAATCGACCACTGAGGGAGCTTCGAATCCTGCCCCTCGGATGGGCGTGGCTTCTACACTTAAAGGACGCGGCCGGCCACCAACGGGCGGGGCCACGTTGTGGGGCGTGACCTGTCGTGTATAACCCCGCCTCTTTGGGGCGGGACCACGTGGTATGATGTAGCCTGTCAGGTATGGCTCCGCCCCATTTGGGGCGGGACTTCTGGAACTTTCGAACCTGGCTGACACCGGGCGCGGCCTCGAGTCTCCAGGCGCGGGTTTCTCCCACGCAGCCTCCCATTCAAAAGATGCCGAAGGGGCGGCGCGGCAGCCACAGCCCCACTATGAGCCAGCGGCCGGCTCCGCCCCTCTATTTCCCGTCCCTCTACGACCGCGGCATTTCTTCCTCTCCGCTTAGCGACTTTAACATCTGGAAGAAGCTTTTTGTGCCGCTGAAGGCTGGCGGAACGCCGGCTGGTGGGACGGCAGGGGGCCGGTCCCTGCCCCAGGCGCCCCCGGCTCCGGCACCCCTGCCTCCGCCGGGCCTTGGTCCCCCCAGTGAGCGCCCCTGTGCTCCTCCCTGGCCCTCCGGCCTGGCACCCATCCCCTATGAGCCTCTGCGCTTCTTCTACTCTCCTTCAACTGGGCCAGATGTGGCCCCCTCGCTCCTGGCGCCTGGTCCCTCGGCCCCCCGTCTCGCCTGTGCTTCCCACCCCGAGGAACTGTGCGAGCTGGAGATCCGGATCAAGGAGCTGGAGCTGCTCACCATCACTGGGGACGGCTTCGACTCTCAGCGCTGTGCGTGAACCCCGAGACCCACCCTTAGCCGTGCCCTTGGCTCCTTTTCTGGTTCCACGCCTCACTCCAGAATGTTGCCTGGTCTCAGACTCCAGCCCCAGGAGTCCTAGATAGTAAATCCATGCCCCAAAACGCAGTTCCCACTGGTCTAGATCTCTCTACTGACTCCTCCCACCACCACCAATTTAGACCTCTGAACCCTTCTGTCTCAACTACCCTCCCTCAGTCCTGATACCTTTCTCAGTAATCTAGATTCTGGGCCCTCAAACCTGGAACTTCACCCACCGCTCCATCCTGAACCTTCATCCCCCAACCCAGTAGTACTCTCACGTCTGTGATCTGGAGACTTTTCCAAAGACTACCGAGGCCAGTGTTTATCTTAAACTGGGGTCTTCGTAGGAGAAGGGAGGGTTAGGTGAACTCAGTTGAGTGACCATAAGGAACAGTGGAAACTGGGCAAGGCCTGGAAGACCTTAAAGGCATTCACCGAGCACCTTTTGATACCCCACTTGTCGGTGCTGGAGGGCAGCTTCCTGTGATCTTGGCTCTCTGGAAGCCCTTCTGGTCAGGGTCTCGGGCTCCTGCATCCATTCATAGGTTTTAAGTCATGGAAGTTTCCAGACCAAGGCAAAACTGTGGTATAGGGAGGGCTTTGGGCAGGATGCCTTTGACATGCAATCTGACTGACTCCTTGGTGTTGGAGGGCAAAGTTGTAAAACCCATTTCTACTCCTGTAAGGATTCATTGCACAGTAGCAATAAGCCGTTTTGCAGGCTTTGCTGCTCCCAAGTCTTGTGCTTGACCACGTAGCAAGACCACTCCCACTATTGTCTAAAACAGGGTAAAAGAGTCCCCTGCCACACCAGAAATGACAGGTATGACATGTGCTACTTGAAGAGGACACTAGTGAGCACTTTCTGTTGGCCATTCTCATTTCCATCTCCTGCCAGCTGTGAGACATCATCCAACAACTAAAAACTATTTGCCACAACTAAAAACTATTTGCCACAAGTATCATTTTCCATTGACACACTTGCTACACTGAGGGAGGAGGGTGAATCAACCCAAATGCTTAAATTATCATGGCCCTCAATTCCTCATCCCTGGAGCCAGGGAAAGAAATCCATCCCTAGAAACATGGGTAGTTTTAGATCTGAGTTTCTCATATATTCTTCATATGAACATGCATTGACTGTTAGAGGTCTACCCCCAACTTAAATCACAGATGGATTTTGGGTTCTTTAGGGAGCACATTAGATACCCAGAAATCTGGCTTTGGAGATGTTAGAAAAAGCTCTTATCCCAACTATGGCGGCTTTGTTTTGCTCTCCTGCAGATAAATTCTTGAAGGCGCTCAAAGATGAAAAGTTACAAGGACTGAAGACCAGGCAGCCTGGAAAGAAGAAGGTTTCTCTTCCCTGAGGAGCTGCCCACCATCGCCTGGGCAGCAGCTTTTTTAGGTGTTAGTGCTTAATGTGCCCCATTTGTTGCCATTTCAAAGATCATTATTTTCTGTTCTGTATTTACTAATGTTCTTGTTGCTCCCAGCACTTAGTCTACAAACAATGCCCTCTTGCTCTATAAATCTGTTTTCTCTTCTCTGTGCTGGGGACCCTCCACCACTGGGGATTCTTGCCCTTGGAGTCTGGAAGCTACTGCCTACCACCCTCAAGAGCTCCCAAGACCTGGGGAGGCCTGGTGGGTAGTGCTGGAAGAGGAGAGAGGGACCCCCGACACTGTCACAAACAAAACCAGAATGATTGCTACTTCAGGAGGGAATTAGAAGAAACCGAAAGATAGTGTATTTGGTTCTGTTGTGTATCTCTGCTCAGAAAGACTCTGAAGCCCAGAACAGTGGGGTTATTTTTTTTTCTTTAAACAATTTTAATCCTTAGAAGTTTGTTTTTTTCTTTTTTTAAAGTGACTTTTGGATCACAAGACTCTTTGAACACCAATCCAAGTCATTGTTTTTCCTAGAAATTTATATATGTATAAAACACAAGTGGTTCCAGCAATTTAGGATTAGAGAGACATCATAAATATATGAGTAAGTAAATGAGAAATGACATCATAGTAAGGAGGAAATGACATCAAGCTAAGAAGGAAAACATAAAACGAAGTGTTGAGAGGAGATAAGAGTCACTTGAAGAGAAGACATTTGTTTGAAGGAGATGGACCGTGGTGAAATGTTCCATAGGCAGAAGGGCTAGTGCCAAGGCTTTAAGGTGAGAGCAGAAAAAGTGAAGTATGAGTGAGAATGAAAGAGGGGAGAGAGTGGTAAGGACCAAGCAAAGTGGGCAAGAGTCAAGCGGGCTCCTATAACCATGGGAAGAGGGCTGCAACGCTCATGCCAAACTAGGGGGTGTGGATACTGAGCTCCAGCTGCTTGTTGCCAAGGCAGTCGTGTGAACACCTTTCAGCAGGTAAGTTCCTGGTTTCTGAATCTTGGCAACAAATTTAAAAGTATCCAAGTATCGCAGGCTAAATAGCCCTGGTGTCACAAGAGCCAAGCACTTGACTGCTAAGGGCAAGAACTCACCAGTGACTCAGCAGGAGAAAGACCTAGCAATTGTCTCTTAGTGACAGTCCTTCCTTGGAAGTCACATGGTGTCACTGTGAGTTCAGACTGACCCACAGCACCTAATAGCAACAGAAGCTGGTCAGTAGCTCCAACAGTGGACTCGAATATAATAACGACTAATGAATACAGCAGGGGGTCAGGGGATGTTTCATTCTGTTAAGTATAAGGTCACCACAAATTAGAGTTGACTGAGACTAACAGAAGCAGGATGCATTCTCAGAGTTTGCAGCCTCTACTCTAGTGAAGGGAGCCCTCACAGGGACCAGGATTACTGGCCGTGGCTCCCTTCCTCCAGCAGTGAGCCTTACTCCTCTTGTCCTGGGCCTGCTGCTATTAGAGAGGATTTCCTTGTTCCTTCAGTGAAGGAGGCTGGAGAATCATAATGAAGGGTTTAGAATTAACCAGGCTCCAGTGTCGAGCTCTGATGGGGACAGAGAACGGAGGTGGCTTGTTTTCCATTCTCAGACTCCCAACAGCCCATGTCAGGTTCATGCTCATAGTAGCCAATTATCAAATGCAATACCACATGGTGGGTGTTACTGGAGGCCAAGCAGACTTGTAGCCCTCACTACAACCTCATTGTTATGTACTGTTAAATTGGAACTGACTCATGGCTGACTCTCCAGCAAGGTTTTCAGAGGCAGTAAATTGTGTGGGAGTTGATTGCCCATTGTTCTCCTATGGAGCAGCTGGTGGATTTAAGCTATGTGCCTTTGGGTTGGCAGCACAACTCCTTACCACTAGGCCACCAGAGTCCCATACTGCCCTGTGAGGCAGGTGTGTCTTACTAACAAGGAAACCCAGGTTCAAAGAGAAAAAGTTACATAGCTAGGAATTGGCAGAGCTAAGCTTGAAACTCTGGTCTATCCAAGCCCATTCAATCTGTCCTTCCTCAGAGAGATAAAGATACAAGTGAAGCCCTAGGTGAGCTCTGCGTCCTTAGAGACTTCAGGTATGTTCTTGGGACCCATGGTATGGTGGCTGGCAGACACACCCTGACCCTTCAGTGCTAACCCCCAGAGTTACAGAGTTTGTAGGGGCTCCTATTCTAGATTCCTTGTGATGCTCCAGAACTCCTGGGCCCCAGATCACTCCATCAGGCAGCCAGCAGTAGAGGCCAAGCTGCTTTGGAGCCCTCAGAGTTTAGGCTGAAGGTGAAATGAAGCTCTTGCTTCCTCTTGCTGATTTGCCCTCCCTGTTACAACCTGGAAGAGGTAGGAAAGAAGAATCAAATGGTGCCTCATTTTAAGAAGTGATAAAAAAGTCTTGCCTCTTTAAAAAAAAATCAAATTTTAAGGACATAAATCAGGACTGTAACCTTTCGCCATACTTATTCGCAGAGTCAGCCTATTACATGACTGAGAAAGGAAGTATAAAGTGCCTTGTTGTTAGGTGCCATCAAGTCGAGTATGACCCGTAGCGACCCTGTGAACGACGGATCTGAACCCTATCCTGTGCCATCCTCACAACTCTTTACACACTACAGCCCATTGCAGAAGTCACTGTGTCAATCCACTTGGTCAAGGGTCTTCCTCTCTTTCACCAACCCTCCACCTTTCCAAGCTTCATGTCCCTCTCCAAGGAATAGCCCTTCTTAGCAACATGTTCAAACTGTGTTAGGTGAAGTCTCATCATCTTTGCCTCCAAAGAGCACTCTGGCTGCACCATTTCCAAGATATATTTGTTTGTTCTATCGCCTGTCCATGGGAAGTTCAGCATTCTACTCCAATACCACAGCTCAAAGGCATCAATTCTTCTGTCATCCTTTTTCATTGTCCAGCTCTCAGATGCATAAAAGTGAACAGAAAAACCATGTCCTGAACCAGACACAGCTCAGTCCTCAAACTGACATCATTACTAACTGCAGACTTTTCCAGTGCAATGTTGTTGAGCATGACTCACAGTTACCCTATGAACAAAAGACCTGAAGCCTTTCTATAACTATCATTTCTCCAAGTTCATAGAGTTTCCAGAGGCATGTTGTTTAGGAAGTGGATGCCACTCCTGCTTTCAACCCAGTGCAGTACTTCTCCTTATTTCCTGACTGCTGGTACCAAGGATGTTAATTATGGATCCAAGTAAGATGAAATTGTTGACAGTTTCAATCTTTTTTCCATCTATCATGATGATGTCTATTGGTTCAGTGGTAAGAGTCTTTGGCTTCTTGACACTGAGATGCAATCCATGTTGAAGGCTGTATCCTTTGATCCTCTACGACAAGTACTTCAAGTCCTCCTCACTTTCAGCGAGCAATGTTGTGTCATCTGCATAATGCAGGTTTGATGAGTCTCCCTTTGATCCTGATGCCATATTCCTCTTCATAAGTCCAGCTACTTGAATAATTTGCTTAGAATATAAATTGCATAGGTATGGACAAATAATACAATCTGGACATATTTCCTAATTTTAAACATAAAGAAATGATGTTAGTTATTGAAAAGAGTTCTGGTCTTTTGTGCAAGAGTCACTATGAATCGTATTCAACTTGACAACACTTAACCATTGCTAAATAAGACTGATGTTGTTATATCTGAAGGAACATTCTTCTAGTTTGTACATCACTCTGTCAGTGCTTTATGAAGTAACCTGGGTTTGCTGTGATGCTGAACCTTGTGCCACTGGGGTATCAAATACCATAATGGTTTCCCAATGTGGACAGTGTTTGAGCTCCCAGTTGTAAAACAGGTTTGGAAGCAGGAGTGGCATCCACTTCCTAAATCACATGCCTCTGGAAACTCTGAACTTGGATAAATAACAATAGCTATGGAAAGGCATTAGGTCTTTTGTTCAGAGTTGCTATGAGTCGTGCTCAACTCGATGGCAATCAACAACAACAAGAAGTTTTCCCTTGCCCTGTTCACACAACAGCCTCCTGATCTAGGTATAAGTTTCTCTTAAGCACAATTTAGTGTTCTGAAATTCCCCTTTTTCTCAATGTTAGCCATAATTTGTTATGATTTGTTATGATCCACACAAATGCCTATAATAAAGCATAGATAGATATTTTTCTGACATTAAGAACTCTTCTGATAATCATAGCTGTTTAGAAAATTTCAAAGGGCAGCTTGAGAAGACAAGGCAAAGGCATTTATAATGGAATGTGCAGAGAGCTGGACTTGAAGAATAAAAGGGAAGAATTTCTCAAGCTGAAAGAACAGAAAAACAAATTGAAGCCTCAAGTCGCTTATTGAAGGATATTGAAGGAGGATGCTTTGGTCAATATATTGAATGACCCAGAAAGCATCAAATTAATAACTGTCACTGTACCAAAAATAACTGAGTGACACTGAAAAATTTCAGGAAGTACCATAAGAGCAGGAGCCAATGGTAATGAGGGAGTTGATGGAAGGCATTAGCAAAAAATGAGGCCCCAGGGATCGATGGACTACAAATTAACATGTTTCAATTAACAGATGCAACCATGCATCCACTCACCAGTCTATGCCAGGAAATTTGGAGGACCGCTGTCTGGCCAATGGATTGGAAGAAGTCCATATTTGTTCCCATTCCTAAGAAAAGTGAGCCAACAGAATGTGAAAACTATCAAACAATACCATTAATATCACATGCAAGCAAAATTTTGTTTATTATAATTCAAAAACAGCTAGAAAAGTACATAGATAGGGAACTCACAGAAGTTCAAGCATTAGTTAGAAGAGGCTGTGGCACCAGGGATATCATTGCTCATAAAAGGCATTATATTGACTTTAGTTTTTTTATTGTGGTAAAATAAAGCAAAAAAGTTATTTTAAAAAAGAGTTTTACTGAAAAAAGTTTTACTCTTTTAGCTCTAATATTTAGGTTTTGATCTGCTTTGAGAAAATTTTCTATATGGCATTAA